AAGCTTAATACAAATAGTTTATGCCGAGGCCATATAATAATCCATATATCTCGCATTCTGTCACTTTCAACGCAGGCAAAAAAAACAAACGTTGTTGGGTTGTTGTTTTGTTAATGAATACTCCATAATCCTCCTGCAATCTTTATAAGATTTTTAGGGTAACAAAATTTAGAATTCTAGTAATGTTAATGTCCATTGTTGATGACATTCAGGTGATTGATCAAACATAATACAAATGAGATAAGAATTATGCAAACAGATTTTTCCATTTCTACTTTTAGAAATATTTGCAAGTATAGTTTTATGTTTATAATGCCATAATTAGGATAATGTTATAATTTTTTTTCAAATCATTGTTGCAATTCCTATTAATTTGAGTTCATATCTTATTTTACAAATCAATATTTGCCTGATTTTAGTTATTTGGATTATGGTTACAGATGATGAGGTTGTCAGTTAATGAGACACAATTTTGCAGGTAAAACCTATAATCACCATTCTTAATAGTGTCAGTTTTTGCGGACAATATATAATTTGTTTGATTGTTTTGTTTGGTTGCTGTTTCATTGAACTATATTCCAAATCTTCTTTTATCTAGAAAAGACCTTTCAAATAGCTACTGATTAGTATATGGATGGACAACAAATGCCAAGTGATGTAAAATAATTCATATGGCTATTTGGCCAATCAGTGGGTGTTCTTCCAAATATTGTAGATCATGGATTCCAATGTGGATTCTTAAGTGATAGCATTTTACATATATAGTTCCCAATGGCAGGTCGAGTTGATTTTGGCTCTCATGTGAATTCTGTTAGTATTGTGCAAATAGTTCCCAAGTAAAGTTAACATTCCAGAACCTTTAACAACAAATCTCTTTTTCCTCTTACATGTCTCATATGAACCAGTTCAGTATTTGAAGCCTGAAATTAAATTTCAGAGTAATTCTGTCAGAAAAATTAACCATGATTGATTGATATTTAAGTGCATAATGTAATTAATCTTTAAGAATAAAATGTTAACACAGAGATATGTCTCGCCTTTTTTATTTTGTAGGTAAAATGCAAATGTTTGAATTACAATAGCTATACTTATGAAAAATATTGAAAGTCAATGAACCATTACTGAAGGTACAGGGCCAAACAATCTCCAAGGAAATGAGATGTTCCAATGCTAATATGACTACATACCAAATGTCATTGAGCTACCACTAGTTGTTCCCGATAAACTCACCTAATCACAAACTAATACATGTAAACTAAGCAAAAGTTTCAAAGTTAATAGACCATGACTGAGGGGACGGGACCAAATAATCTCCATGGAAATGAGATGTGCCAATGCTAATGCAACTGCATACCAAATATGGTTGACCTATTACTAGTGGATACCCATAAACTGACCTTATCACAAACTAATACATTGTTGAAGCTGTCACCACCGGAAATAACATACCTATGTTTGCTTTTTGATTCCGTCAGGGAGCGACACCCTGTTTGGGATATGGGATTCACAAATTTTGTATTTCATATACTAAGCAAAATAGATATGTGAGTTTGGAAGATTGACCTTGAACTCATATGTATGTGTTATTGGGTAAATTAGACAGTCCTATGTTTGTACCTAGACACTGGACCTGATGAAGTTTTTCCAAAAGAGGGGGGAGGGGGTAACTGTTAACAAATTATAATCATGACGTATCGAACAATAAAATGTATTGCTTATACTGTAGGAGTTGTAATTTACAATTAGGCCATTTATATTCTTGTCAACAAATTCAACAATCATATATACTTTTTGGCACCGATATTTTACCACCAGGTTACATATTCACAATTTGTCGGTTTAAGGTCAAATGAACACAGAAGGATAGCCAGTCATTACGAATATGCAATGTAAAGCAAGCATCATTCATCTTTAAACTCATGGAAGTTTTCAGCCGCAGATATTTCTGGAGCAGCGAGTATTTTGAGACAACCTCCCTATTTGTATTTTTCGTGATACTGATAATATTTAGCTGTCTTAAATCTTAAAATCTATGTTTTTATATGCAATAACTCTGTCTTCAACTTTGTATATTCGCCACTATGTCTGTTATTCTGGTACATGGTCGTCTTCATCAGAACAATGGCGACCCTGAAGTTTCTGTTGTCTGATTTTGGCGCCAAATTAAAGGGAGACAACTCACGCTTGCCAAAGTTACTGTATTTCACCCAAATAACCTAAATTTGACTTTGTACTTACAAATAATTACACGTTAAACAATTTTATATTCAGATATCGTCAATTGATATAATTGAACGCATTAATTTATTAAAGTAATCAATAGATAAGTCACAAAAAAGTAATTCATGGAGTGCCTTGAAATCAGACCTTATGGGGTAAAACAAAAGTCCATATTTTTTTTAAAAGCCTGGCGCCCCCCATTTGATTTTACCTTAAAATGCTCGAAAAGTTCATAGCTTTGACATATTTGTTTTTAAGAAGAAAATCACCGGGGAAATTTTACGAAAAATCGATTTAACCAATATTTTTAGCCTGAAACTGAAATTAGAAAATGGCAAAATTTAGACATAAATCGAAAAATAAATATTTTTGGATTCAACATAAAATGATCTTCAAAATATGTGAAAATAAATTTTCTACCGGGGATCCTTATTGGGGTGAGCCACCTTAAGACACAAGGTACAGATCTTAGAGTACTGAAAGCTAGTTCAAAGCCTATAACAACTAATAAATAAAGATTGTATGATGTTTTTTCCCTGATACTCCTTTTTTGTCCTACCAATATATAGCCTTTACAGTTATCGTTTGGTGGCAAAAGGGAAATAATCATATTTTAGTTTTTTTTTTACTAAAGACGGACACAAATCAAAGTGGCATGCTTTCTAAGCACTTGTTGGTTTATCAATTTATTTGAGTACGGACATACACTTGTGACAAGGAATAATTATAAAATGGAAAAAGTTAGATTTAAAGTCAATGAAAATGTGTTAATACATATCATCGAGTTAAGTTGTCCTCTAAAATTAATCTTCCAAGTCGGCGTGTCTTTACTAAAACTATTTAAACAAAATTCTTGAATCTTTTATACACACGGTAACTTGCTCAAACATAGCTTAAATGATTAGGGAAGATGTTGAGAAAGGATGGGAATCTTTTTTAATTTTTCCTTTTGTGCGTTCCCGTGCGACAGACTTTTTTCTTTAAAAACGATGTTTTTCTTATGTCTATAATGAGATGAATATCAAGAGTTGCCTCCCGTATAACATTTGGACTATTTCATGACTCAAAACTACGTGAGAGTAAATTCCAGTAGTCTTCCAATAAGCACAGTGTGTGTGGTGGTCCAAATATTTTGTAAACTACATTTTCATCAGATAACAGTAAGGCAACCGAAAATCAAGTAAATTACCGAATTACAAAACTGATTATTCCAATACATTGACTGAAATAAATCCAGAGTAAGAGGGATATATCTAGTCACCATCTGACTACCAATCTTTTTTTGTTAAATCCTAAACGAAAATATATATTATCAAAAGTAATAGCTTTCTTTGTATATTAAGTAAGGGTATTTTTTGTAATTTTTATTACTAAGTAGAAATTTTAGCGACGGCAACCGACAGAGTTGACCACATGTCTTGCGGTCATAAAACTTTCGAATACGTTTATCGTACTCAAACTAAGAAAATCAATATAAAAAATACTGATTTATCGAAAGACCATTAAAAAAAAAAGGATTATTTTAAGACATATACCTCGAATTTGACTCCAGTGGTCATCACAGTAATAATATAAACGGTATCAATCTTAATGCACCAGATGCGCATTTCGACAATTAATGTCACTTCAGTGTTACTCAAGGCCAAAACATTTGAATACCAAAAATCTAATACAAATGTTGAAGTTACATAATCTTTGACAAACGAGACGGTTTGAATTTTGATATAATAATTTTTTCTTACCTTAGCGATAATATATCAACTTCAACTAAATTTTTTTTAACTGATTCGAAATCAAAGAGCGTGTAGCTGCTACTCAGACGTTGTAAAACGTCCAAGGGGTCTGAGCCAAAAAAAACAGAGTCAATGTTTTGTCAAAGAACGTCTCGTCCTAAAAGATAAATATTTAGTGTCAACTTTACACCCTGATAAAGGTTGGTTTGGTGTATAGATTATATGTACTGATGTTCTGTATCATTTATTTACCTTTGCAGTTTATATTTTTTATTTAAATAGTTTACGGCAATTTTTCCGTTTACCATTGCTACATTTTAAAGCATTCCATTTCAAATAAATGAATAAATAGCAATTGAAGATTTTGCATGTGCATCATTTACTTTATATAATTTTAGAAAATGTACAGTGATATTCTGGAATCGACTGCAGGAATATATTAGATATTTTCTTTTTTCTTTTTCTTTTTTCCTCATGTAGAAGAGAGTCGGGGTATACCAAAGAGTTTGTTATACTCAAGTCGACGACAAACTGAAAACGCGATGACAAAAACGAAAACCGACATAGAGGCAACAATCTACACAACACAAGATAGAAACATAAAGACTGATTACGAAAAGTTAACCTTTACCAATGTTTAACTTCCCTAGTAGACTTTGGTAAATAACTCACAAACTAGGTCTGACATCAAATGGCCACTTTAGAATTCTGGTGATTTTTCAGAATTTTCTGTCTGTACTGTACATTGAATTGAAACAATAAGTAGAACACATGTTCAGAGTTATTTGATGTAAATTCCGTCGTTACTCTAACACATACCATCATGCGTGCTTTAGTTTGGTTTCAAACTGTTAACCGAAGTTACTGTAACTATATGAAATGTAAAGTAAGTATATATATGAAAAACGAAGATTTTTAAGAAGAAATAGCAAGACTAAATGCGTTTCTTTTTTAACACTAGAAAACACCCTATTTTCCTTTGTCATAAATACAATCTTGGTATAGGACATTCAGTAATAGAAAAAAAAACCTTTTTATCATTTTATTCATTTCAAACACGCAAAAAGTTGATTTCTGTTTCAATTTATCATCCTCTATATTTGTAAATTCCACCCCTCTTATGGTAACCGCGATATTTACCACCATGAACGTTGTGCTGTAAAATAAAATAAAGATATATTTTAAGAAATGTCTATTCTAGTCGAGGAACTGATTGATGTTGTTATGATATGTGATAACACTTTGTGAAGGAATTCGATGTTTGCTGTTCCACGATTCACTTAGATGTATTGTATGACAATACCACTGAATTTATCAAAATAAGATTTATGCAGTATGTAATGAAATGAAATGATTTAGCTTTGTATCTGTTTAATTTTTCAAAATCAATAACGCTTTAATGAGTCGAATTTGTAGAATAAGGTAATTAAAATTGTTGACTTTTTAAGCTCAAATTTTCTGGCGTACAAACTTGTAAGCCTTGTATCTGTGATGAGCTTATTTACAAACACGGGTTCGATGCCACTGCTGCTTGAATTGTCCTCCCCGATGGTATCGCCAGCTCGTAGTCAGCACTTCTGTGTTGACATGTATAATCATTGATATGGTCATAATTATAAATTAACTTTGAATGTTTCGAAATACTAAGGATTTTTTGCCTCTGAAATAGATTATCTTAGCTTTATTGGGCAAAACATTTCGAAATTTTGAATCATCGATGCTCCTCAACATCGTACTTTTTTTTACCTTTTTAACCTTTTTGATTCGAGCGTCACTGATGAGTCTTTTTTGGACGAAACGCACGCCTGGGGTACACATGTTTAAGCCAGGGAATGTATAATGAGTTTATTTTGGATTGAGTTTAATGCGCTAGTTAGAGATCAGAAAACTATGCTTAAACAGATAGAGTAGGTGTTGTGTAATTCTAGTAGAAAGTTTGGTTGGTTATTGATTGCACACAGTTACAAGCAATTATCTTAAAAAAAACGTATACCATTTTCTCTCTACCGAACTTACCCTAAACACATATTTTGATACAATGTATGGACTGGTCATTGTTGATCAATCTGGATTGGAATAAGTCATCATTCCGTCACATTTCCTGTTTGTTTATCTTTTTCCTGTGTGTATTATGTGAGAATGACAGATTTTATTATATAATAATAAGTCTTTGAACGGCAAGGAAAATAATTAGGAATTAATAAGATTATAACTTTTGTTTGTCGATAAACAATTATTGTTACGATTTGATTTTTCTGTCTTTCATCTGTACAAATTATACGAGTCTAAAACATTCACTTCTTGATTACCAATATTAATTTGATAAAATAGATAATAACTGCATACTTTTGTGTCATAATTTTACTTTTTTGGAAATTTCTAATTTTCAAGTTGAGCCAGAAAATATATTTTTATTCCTATACATGAAAAAATTGTTATCTGAAAACAGGTAAATTTGCAATTCACCAAACTAAACACTATACGAGTTCATACTGTTTGTGTCAATTAAACAAAAGGTATGACATGTTTCATTAGCCAGTTCTTACTTTTTCATAAATTTTTCGTCATACACAAATATATTTTTACAACATTGAAATGTTGCATTCTTCAGAAATTTGAGAAACTATACATATCCTTGAAAAAGTTTTCATTTTGAAGAGAAATATTAAAATATATTTTACAAACATCTACCTTCGGAAAACAAGCTTTTGTGTATGTAAAAAAAATGGTATTTTTCAGACTTATTATTCTGTTATCATTCCAATTTTCCTTAAACGAAAACGAAATCGAAAATGACTTTAAGAATGCCATGCTGATGTATTAAAAGATAGATTAATATTTTCATCTGTTCATTCATTATATATTTAGGTATGCTCCATTGTGATTGTAAATCATTGTACACACTGGAAGACCATGTTGCATTTTAATGTCGATTGACGTTGTGGCGTTTGGCAGCTATCTCCCTCATGTGTGTTATGCATGGTATAGAAAGTCGATCCTGTTTAATTTTTCTATCATTCTGTCAAATGCTATGAAGATGGTTTAAACATTTATCAACATACTTTAAATAAAGCAGTCAAAGAATTTTGGAATATAAGTAGACCTATTCCGAATAATGAAATGAAAACTGTTTCCGTAAATCAAAGAATAAATAAAAAACGTTCCACTTTCCCCTCCACTAGAATGACTTCCTTAATACCCTTTATACTCCTTCCTATATTTTCCAGAGGCAGCTGTAATAATCATAATATTGATTAATAAATCTTTGTCTACCACCAGCGTCGTTAAATACAATACACGATGAATAACTGATTTGCTTTTGGATAACAATTTCAACACTAACTGATAAATTACTTGAATGTACAAATGTAAGTCTCATTAAAAAATAATTGAAGAATAGGTTTGATTATTTGTTTTTAATATATGTTGATGTTTTAAAACGCACACTTTCAAAAAGAACATTTGGCACAAAAGAAAGAGTTTCAGTACACCAAAAATGATTAAAACCATTGAAAAACAATTATTAGCCTGTGAACGAAAATTAGTTAGATATTTGTCAGTAATATGTATTTGTCTATTCATATAGCATTTTTGGTTTAGTGCGTTCGCGTCCAGATTTACATTGAATATGGTTATCCTAGCTTTGAATTCAATGACTGAAGACTCGTTAATGTAATGATACTGTACAATACTAATTTGCATGATTGGAAGAGCTTAGTACGACATTCGGAAATTTGTTAATTTTTGAAAGGGGGATAAATTATTATGAGACAATCAAAGTTAAGGCATCGATGAAAGACAGATAACACCATGGCTACATGTAGCAAAACGAACCCCACCAAAAGGCAACTGAAAACTGTAAACATTACTTAAACAAACATATAATTTCAGATGGGTTCTGTTGATTATTGGTTGATTGAGGAGATATAAAAAAAAATATAAAAAAGATTTCACATGACAGTCGAGACATCTGCAATCTCGACAATTAATACTGTTGTTTTTGCTTATTTCTACTTACCAACTGGCATTCTAACTGAGGCCACCATCAACAGAGCAACAAGAACTATGATTCCGAATAACTTCATGTCTGCCTATAAAGCTTAATTTACATTATTCACTTTGACGATTTTTAAGAATGATGACGATGAGTATGATTCAATACCAGTGTTTATATATCCAGTATGACAGAAACAGCTGGTTGGTACATATAAGAAATCACAGCCACTTCATATTGTTTCAACATGTTTAACAACGTTTGTTTAAAACCAAAATCAAGGGAAACCTTATAATATGCATTGTATTTACATATAACATGGTTTGAGATGTAGAAAAACGTAATAATTTGCTGATTGCGTGTTTTGAAATTAATCTGCTTATGTACAAAAAAATGTGTAACTAGAACTATGTATCATTGGATTGATATTTTTATATATGTTATTAGATTAATGTATTCATTCTAATTTTTACCCTTTTACCATGTACAGCCTCAACATTGGAGCGCCTCGGTCGAATTTGTTTATGTTTGATGTAAGATTAAGCGGATATAAAAGAAGGTGCTAGCGGCCTTAAGTAAATAAATGCAAATGATCGGTTAATGAATAAAAAGAGAATTATGGTATACACTAAAAAAAAAACAAATATTCAATTTCACAAATGATTAAGGGACACGAAAAGTTTAAATTCATGGAAATCATGAACAACACTTTCAAATACTTAAGGTGTAATACCACCATTGATTTTCCCCTATTAGTCTTTGTTAAATTTGCACTTTTCAAAAAATTGTACAGAATTTATCTTTGTTTCAAATAAAGAAATACTTGGCATGAGTAAAGTTTTATCCTGTCCAGTACTATAGAAAAAAATTTCACATAAAATTTCATTGCATATAAGAAAATAACCATCACTGGAAGTTAACCAATCAAATTTTCCCCCTTTTTTAACCTGTTTACAAGCTTTAGTAACCATGAACCTCAAGTTTCCAAAATATTCTATAGAAACCCCAAATTAAAAAATAATGGTGCTTTGAAATACACAAGATATATGTTTATGACCCAGAAATGTTTTACTGCAATGAATTGTAGGATCAATTACCTACAACTGTCAAATTCAAGGGAATATTTTTTTTCGACCTATTTTCGTATGCAACCGGATGTGACGTACTATGATTTGGTGGTATTACACCTTAAGATAGAATTTAAAAATCAGTAATACTATCCCTTTAATGTCATCAATATATATATTTAACAGCCATTGTTTATCAATACAATCCCCAACTGTATTAAGTGCAGAAAGTGAACTGACGAAACACACACAAGAAAGAAACTACTCTGATTTAAAAGCAAAAGACGAACTAAAGAGACATTATAATCCATATGTTGCTTTAGAACAATAGTGACCGTGGATATTGGTTATTGTTCAAAATGGGCATTTGTTTAGGACCCTTCACATATATGTCATTTATCTAAATTGCATTAATGTAATGTTTGATAATTATATTTATTTGATCCCATTTAAGAATTCTGTTTTCGAGGAGGGGTGGGGGGTATTTGGTATTTGGAGTAAAGGCAAGAGGAGCTGAGAGACTGAGAACCCAATCTTTTTTTTTGTATATTTTGAATAACACGAATAAATAACCTATCATAAATTAATTACGAAAACAATCTACCAAATAGAAAGCATATGGGGTAACCATCCTTGACAAAAAATCTGTATATGCACAGCAAAAAACACAAAAAGCAAAGGAACATCGCTTGTATTGCTTTTTTGTCATCTCAAAATCACAGTGAGGCCTAAAACTATCATGCTTATGCTATTACACGAAGAGATATATAGGTTTGATAACTATCTAATGCATTTATGACTTTAGTTTTAACCGCATCTTAGACAAAAATCGACATTTGATCAGTTTCAGGTCCTAATGTTTCAATCAGTAACCATATACTTCATATTAATATCTCGACCTTATCAAATATCATCAAGCATGAAAAAAATGATCAAGAGCAGCGGCTCATCCGTGCCACTCATTTATCACAGTTGACATTGACTCCCCATTTTTGTTTTTTGTTTGTGTTGCTCTCGCTTTAGTCTCCTGTTTAGGACGTTCATGTTCCACTAGTTATTTCCTGTTTTGCTCATACACAATATAAAGTGATAAATCGCATCCGGTAATATAACCATTCGAGAATATGAGGAATAGATTTAGATCCGTATAGGCTGGTTTACATATTGACTTCAACATGATTATGACTATTATTACACAAATAAATCTTCGTTATTGACACAACCGGACATTGATACAAATAAGATATATGTAGTTAATACCCTGTTCGGGCGTATCCTCATTGCATTTTCACAGATGCTTACATTCAAGATTGGTACTATTCGTCGGACAATCCAATACAATTTTAAGTGAAGTGTGCATATAGTCAGCTTTTTAGACTAAAAGAAAGTCATTCAGTACTGTGGTCATTGTTGCTCTCGTGGTAGTGGCGTCGCGATGCAATTTGGTAATATCGTAATTCAAACAAAGGCTATGATACTGAATAATTTCATATTCGTCTACAAAGCTTTCCTTATGTGTTCAATTCATTTAAATTTGTATCGAAACGCTCAAGAAGAAAAACAATTTGGAATTTCGTTTAGTATGTTATTAATAATAAATATAAGCAGCTGTGTAAGTGTACTGATTATGCAACATAAGATTAGTCTATTTACACAGCGTTATATGGATTTACCTTAGTTTCATAAATGTTGGGCTGTGTGAATAATGAAGAATTTATTGTTTTATACTATATGTTGAATAATTATATAAATACGAATATGAACATCAACCTATAAGGATCCTAATCTGTTTTTTTTTTCAGACATGAATGTAAATTTTAAGGTCGAGTGGTGGATAAATATTTTATTCGTTTTAGATTTTTTATGAAATTATGAAATTCATATTTATTTTTTAATGTTACGTCTTACCTTTATGTAATATATGTTAAAGAATATGATCCACTTGCTTTACTCTCTATACTCCCGTTTTTATTTTGTAACATTCTGACTGTCCATGTACCGGATTTCTACTTGTGATGACCAATATCAATTATTGGCAAAGGAACGGCTTATGGCTTAGAGCACCTGATATAACCCTCGAATTTCGTTGGGTTCGTGTTGATCAATATCTATTATGACGTGAGCTGTTTTGTGGACTGCCTTTATGCTGATAAAATTAGTATTAATAGACGAGAAAGAGTTTCGTGAAGCACTTATATTCATAACACTTATGGTACCAATTTTACTGCATTAGATGCGAATTTTGACAAGTAATTTCTCTTACGTGATGCTCGTGTATCGTGTCTAGAATATTTTGAAAATCCAATACCTATTAAGACGCTTGATTGAAAACGTATTTTTAACGTTTGGAGGACATGTTTTGCAACAAAAAACAGTATATATTTAATGGGAACAAACTGTGCTCCTATTCTCGACGACTGGTTTCTTTGTTGATATGAGACCACCTATGGTGGTTTTGTTGAATTAATCTATCCCATCAAACTTTTTAAAAAAGGATGCAGCAGATCCTATTAGGTCTGCCTCATATCTTGACTCACATCTATAATTTGACAATGAGGGTTTGTTAAGATAAAAAGTTTACGAACAAAGAGATGAATCATCGTCCGAATTTCCCTTTTTATATAGAACTAGCAGGGTCTGCTTTTTGGGTATAAATCTTCCTGTTCAAACGATATTCTAGCTTTTGAATTTTCTGTCATGATTTCCCTTATTGATGGTTGGTGCTCATAACAACTTATCCTTCCTGAGCACCTACGATGAACCGGTTGTTGATGGGGTTTGTTTTGCTAAATCATTTGTTTGTATGTTGTGATTTGCAGACTGTTGATCGTATTTTCGGTTTTTTGCTATATCATTTACAGTTTGTCTTTGACATATGAGTTTAAATATCCCTTTGGGATGATTTGTCTGTATTCCAAAGATGTCGGTTTCATAGAATTTTGAATAAGAGTAAATGATTTCAAAGATATAGTAGTATCCCCTTAATCAACATATTTTTATCTATGTTACCAATTATTTTTTATGAAACAAAGATTAACTTATCACTGTAATCAGCCTCTAAGCATGGAATTTAGAATACTTGCATTTCTGTAAAAGGTAGAAAAAAAATGAAAATGTATTGTACTATTGGACGAGGAAAGAGACTTGGACTGTAAAATTATATATGTGCGTGTCCCAAGTCAGGAGCCGGATGTTCAATGATTGTCGTTGGTTCCTGTCTGTCATATTTGTTTCTCGTAAATTGAAATTTTATAATTTATGCCCTTCGTTTTCTTATTTAATTGTTCGACATCTGTCATTTCGATCCTTTATATAACTGACTAAATGGTATTGGTTTTTCTCATTGTTGAATGCCGTACGGTGAACTATAATTGATTAGATTCACGTCATATAAACACGAACCCCAACACAATCAAATATCCTTGTTGACCAGCCAAAATTGTCTCTTCGACTGTAAATAAAAAATTCGTTTGAAACATATGAACAAAAATTTGTTGAAAATAAAAAGAACACCTAATCTTAAAATAGTTATAGTATGAATTATTTTATAAAAAGCTTTCATATTAACATATGAAGAATACTGCAGTGGCATTTCTGATTTTTTTTTCTGGACGTTTTAGGCCAATTAACAAAATCATCCTGTGTCAACAAAAATATGATGACGACGTACTATCTGCTTATCTTAATGACACATGAGATTAAGTTCATATAAAAATCGAGTATTAAATCTATCAAATTTAAATGAATGCCATAAAAGTGAAGGGTCCTTAAGAAATGCTTATTTAGAATACAATGTAGCTACCAATATCTATGTCTTTATTGTTATTACGCAACATATATTATATACAACATATACTATAATATCTATTTAGTTTCCCACTTGATTTTCAAGCAGAATATTTTTTTTTAAGTTTGTTTCGTCTATAATATCTGCACTCCACACACTGGGGGATTGTATTGCTAAATAGTTGTTGTTAATTATATGCATTGTGACATTGAAAAGGAAGATTTCATTGATTTTCGTTGTTTGTCTTAAGTTATTCGTAATATCATTATATTCAAATTAGAAACATAACGATTGTTTGTCCTTTTATTTTTTGTGACATGAG